GATTCTTACAGCTCTTCTGCTTGTGCTGACAGCCTCAGCCACATGAGAGAAATAAATTCCGGAAACTTAGTCATAGGAATAGAAGTCAATAGAGAAATGCCAGATGATTAGGAGAAAATTAGATGCAATTCTGGAAGTTGTAAAATCATGGGGTTGGATTTAATGAACTAACCAGCTGTGATGAAAGAACCAACAAATGCCCTTCTTCCCTCAGGCGGCAACGAGTACCGGCACAGTTCAGCAGCCTCATCTGAGGACGACAGTGAGCATCGACATGGAAAGAAACACGAATTCCCCTTGGTCAGTCTCTTCCCTGAGGATTCAGAGAAATGGGTTTTCATCTAGTCAAATGAAACTCAAGATGTTATATATGTAAATAAGATACGATATAGAGAAACAGGGGATTTTACTTGGAAGTACAATGGAGAGAGGCTTGTGAAGGAGGGCTGAACTGGGTTGATTGCAGAGGAAGAGGGAGAGTTCCATAGGGTTAGTTAATGACAGTTAAGAAATGGGTAATGAGGAAAATTTGATGGGTTTTCCTAGTTGGTTTTGGGAGAGAGAGGATAACATGATCAATGTCATCCACATATATTATGATGAAGCTCAGAATCATAAAGCAGAGTTCGATTGGTTGGAGGTGGAGACCAGAAATCAGGGTCTCACAAAGACAGGCTTCTAAGTTTTAAATCCTTAATCTTTTAATCAGGGGTTTTTCCCTTTATTTGGAACAAAAAAGTAAAAAATTAGGAATTTAATTTCCCCCTTTTTGAGCCGGGGTTAAAGGCAAAATTAAGGTTTTTAACATTTGTCAACCACAAATGCAAATCAAGGTTTTTTTTTTCTTTTTTTTTCTTTTTCCTTAATAACAATGCAAAATTAGGGTGATTTTCCCTTTGCTCACTCAATTATAACGCAAATTTAAAATTTCTTAGAGTATATATAATGAAAGCAATTAAAAAGTTTATTTTAGTATTATATCATCATAGTTAATATTATTTTATATAAACTCATATTTTTTATATTTGAAAAATAAAGAAATC